CTGCTCATCCCTAGCCAGGTTTACTACCTTGTTTTGGATCACCACTGACAACTGAGGAATACACAACAGTGAGATGAACAAAGGATGGTGATTAGTGATGTCCTTATGAAACTGCCCAGGTTCCCAAAAGTCACGTATTTGTTTCACACTGCCAGATGTTACTTAGACGTAATTAAATAGTCATTCAGGTGTTACATACTCTGCTCATCCCTAGCCAGGTTTACTACCTTGTTTTGGATCACCACTGACAACTGAGGAATACACAACAGTGAGATGAACAAAGGATGGTGATTAGTGATGTCCTTATGAAACTGCCCAGGTTCCCAAAAGTCACGTATTTGTTTCACACTGCCAGATGTTACTTAGACGTAATTAAATAGTCATTCAGGTGTTACATACTTTTTATATTTTATTATCTAGTCCCAAGATATTTATGCCAAAGCTTCTCTCTGGCTCTTTCATAGAAGACCAGCTGTTTTGTTTGGACTAATGGAACAAGATACCTTGAAAGCATTTGTGAAGGGGTTTGAAGCAATTGTAGCAGGAGATGAAATATGAGGGGAAAGTGCTATTCTGTTCCTCAACCCCACTCTCAGCTTATGTTGATAAGGTAGGGTCTGTTACAAAACTTATATGAGATAGGGATATTAAGAAGCATGTAATTTGTTAATTGTATCGTTGACAAAAATTTTGTTGACTGCCCAATTAATCACTAAGGGTTAGCACTGCAACCACTCTGTCCCCATGCATGCCAGGGCCCCACCCTTGCTGCGACCACCCCTCCTCTGACTCTGCACTAGAAGCACTTCAAGAGCTAGCACGTAGGAAAGCTGGCTCAGGCCCTACATGCTCCTGGTCTTGGCATCAACACGCACTGCAGGAGCCTGTCTGTGCGCCAGCTCCTAAATTGTGTCCAATGCAGAGCTGCAGTGGGGGTTGATGCTGGGACCCCACCCATGAAAAAATGTACTTGCAGAGTCACAGGGAGAGGGGGCGCTTGCATGTAGCTGATAGCATTAACCAGTAAGCATCCCCTTATTGGTTAGTTGTTTAATCAACTACACTATTACATGCCTAATATGAAACATTAAAAAGTAGGATAGCATTTAGTTGTGAATATTTTATATATAAACACTTCTCTGCCTGTTGGAATTGGCAGCAACAAGGCCTGGGCTCAATATCTAGGGGGTTATTTTCAACAATACAACATAAACCCAGCTCGGGCCCCAGCCAGTAACATGGTGGACAATTACACACAACCCCTGGACCCCTGTAGACAGTACTGCACAGCAACCACAGAGTCTGAGTGTAGAAAGAAAACTTTTAATTAAAGGAGGGAAGTGACCTGGCCTTAATTTGGGAAAACACCTCAGACAGAAACATAAACCAAGAGCACTAGATGTCGGGGAGTGCTCATTCAGACTCTGCTTACATATAGAATATTCAACAGTGACCTTGTGTTATGTGTAATGCATTAAATGTCATTTATATTTGTTAGAGATGAATTCTGTAGGTATTTCTTCTCTCTAATGTTAGGGTAATTTTAAATGTGCAGTTTTAAAAGTTTAAATTAAAATGACATCTATTTCCCATGGCTCTGGTCTTTGCAGTTTCCCTTTCCCACCTTCCCCATAATTCATTGATTCCACTCCTATTCTTTCTCTACAATCTTCACTCTCTGATCTTGCTTCCATTAAGACTATCCATTCCTCAATCCACATGCACTGCACAACATTTCACTCTCTTTTCTCCTCTTTCCCCCCCCCCCCCCTCTGTTTCCCTCTCTTTTTAGTCTCCCTGCCTTTTTCTACCCTTTCTTCAACTTCCTTCATTTCTTCCCACTTTTCTTCCCCACTTGGATTAAGCATGTGCCAGGCTTTAGGCACAAGGATGCCTACTAAAAATCCTTGAAGTTAGGCAGTGCTTATGTTCCTGGTTAAATCAAGACCTTAATCCCTGCTTGCTTCTCCTCCAACCTTTTCGTTACTCCATCATTTTCTAGACACCACTCTGATGAATCTGACTCAAAATGTGTTGCCCCAACTAAAGATGGAACGTAATGCGTCCCACCCCACCACTTCTTCAGCCACCTTTGCACTGGCATTTGCCATTCCTCAGAAGAGGCACTGCGAATTATTCAGGAAGTGATTTCTATTTCATTTCAGTGTCTTTCCTTCTCTATCTCCGTATTTCTCTTTCCAGCTTCCATATAGTTTCTCCCACCCTTACTCTGTTTTTTTTCCCTTCTGGATCTCTTTAGGGTTAATGTAACAAGTGACATGAGACACTGAACAACACGCTGCAGAGGAAGCAAACTAAATGTGGATGAAAAGTCAGCCTTTGCTGGCAGTGCAATGGAGTCTTAATGCAATCCCTCCCCATTAGAACTATAGAAAGGGACAATTGATGGAGCTGCACAATATCAGACCTGTGATGACTTTTCAGACTCTCAGAAAGTCAGATTTGTAACTTTTCACTCTCCTGCTCAAACCTCTGATATTTTTAAAATGTATAGTTGAATGTTTGTCTAATTGTTAGGAGTTATCCATCCTGGATGAAAGCACTTTTCAAGTGACAGATTCCAGGATATGAGAAACCCCTGACATCCAACTACCTCCAGGGTTTTAAACAAATCATTTTGCTACCATGTGACAGTCACTCCTTTGGCAGGCATTTGAATCAGGGACCTCCAGAGCTAAAAACATAAGCTACCAACTCATATCCTCTGTAGACCAGACACAGAGGGTTCCCTGTAACATTCATTCACCAGCTTCTAGTAACTGGAGGTAAATTATTTTATCTAGAATTTTATTAAATTCATTAATTCATTTATTTTGACTTCATAGCACCAGTCTCATGTCCAGGGTGCTTTATATGTTTCAAGATCAGATTCAATACAAATATTCTAATATTAACTCTAACTCAGCTGCCAGATAGCATCTGCCTATACCCCAAACCAACCCACTATATCAAGCTTGTTGGTTTGCCCCTTCCTCAACTGTCAGAAAATAAACACATCAGCCCAATATAGCGGTCCATTCATGTATGAAAACTAACTGGCCTGTTTCATGCTCATCACTTGTGACCTCTGCATTTGTGGTACGTTTTGGTTCAATTTTGCAAACTAGTTGAACAGAGACAGGATTTGGGGACAGATTCCCTATAGGGATTAAATGAACTTGTGAGAGTATCAGTTGAGACAAACTCCTTTTACAGCAGTATTGCAATATGCGTGCTACTACTGAATCTGGGTCACAGGGATAAAAGGTGATTTGTTTTAATTACTATGCCATGTAGCTCCATTTTATATCTGCTGCCACATCACAGACCCAGAATGAATTGAAAGGCTGTCGCTCTAAATGTGTGTTTATGACGTTGTTTGTTGGATTGTCTCTCCAGTTCTGCCAGTACCACGTCAGTTTCAAACAGAAAGGCCTGGGGTTACCATACACACAGTCTATCATAGGACTTTGAACAGTACAACAAATACTTGTGGTGACATTTTTTAGCCAAAAGAAATGAAAAGAAAAATTACAATATTTTTCTAAGGATGAATGGGAGGAACCCTTTCATCCTCACTGTCAGGAAAACACCGGGATAAAAAAAATAATGTAAATTAAATACATTGGATTACATAACATTTTTGGGAAGCGGGAAAGGCTACAGAATTCTGGCAGAGGCAGGTATAGTATCAGAGATCAGGATTCACAGGGTGAATCATAGAATTCCTACAGCAGAAATCTTCCTGAAGATGTGTTGAGACCAAGAGGACAGCAGAGTCAAGAGGAGTTTCTCAAAGACAATATTGTTTTACATATTCCCACTATCATACTCGAGGACGAATCAATGCTGAGCTGGAAAAGTGGTTGATATGGGATGGACTTAGGTTTTTGGAGAAGTGGAATATACAGACAGGAGGTTCCATGCATACACTTAAGTGGAACTCAATATATAAATACAAGACTGGAGCAGGTAACAGAGCAGAATTGAAAGCAATAAACATGGGTGCAAATAAAAGAAGATGCTCCCATAAGTAAAGAAGAGGGGAGTACATTAGAAACAGAGGTTAAAGCACAAGGAAAACAGACAAGCAGGGAGAACAAAGAACTGTGTGCACTAGAGAAAAAAAGAAAGGCTTTGTAAACATCAAGGCTACGTCTAGACTGCATCCCTCTGTTGACAGAAAGATGTAGATTAGGCACGTCGAAATTGCTAATGAAGTAGGGATTTAAATATCCCGCGCTTCATTAGCATAAATGTGGCTGCCATTTTTTTTCGAAATGGAGCTTTTTCGAAAAAAATGGCAGTCTAGACACAGATCTGTTGAAAATAAACCCTTTTTC